CACATGAGCTACAGCTAAGCCTTTTCTCCTCCCTCCATAAAAAAAATAAAGGCCAAGGTTGCTGATCAGTCCAAGAAAAGAAAACATGATCCCAAAGGAGAAAAGTAGGTGAAATCTGAGGAGCACAAGTACTGAGAAAGAAAGGCAACAAACAACAATCTGTACCCCAGGAAACAGAACTAGTGCAACAGAAAGAACAGAGTTTAGAATAAACATAATAAATACCCTTATAAAGATAAGAGAAGACACTAGAAACATAAATCAGAGACAGATGGAGGTGAGGCAGCCACAAATAGAGAGATTCATTACTAAAAGTATGTTGTTGAAGAATTCAGCCAGTGGATTAAGTAGCAAAAAAGACTCATCTGAAGATTGAATTAGTGACTGCAAGACTGGGAGACACACTCTTCCACAAGGCATCAAAAAAGATGAAAGAAACTGAAAAATAAATAAATAAATACTGAAAGAACAGAAATAGAAGTGATGACAGCCATCTCAAAGGAGTCCCAGTAAGAGAAAAAAATAAATGGAAGGGAGGAAATATTTAAAGACTAATGATCAGGAATATTGCAGAATTAAAGAACCTCAGATCAAAAAGCCTCAGAGAGTAGTAAGCTGGACATAAGAAATTTTTTTCTTATTTTATAGTGAAATATAAGGACCTCAAAGTCAATGGGGGAAAATTCTAAAAGCATTCATAGAGAAAAAGCAAATCACCTACAAAGGAACAAGAACCAGAAGGATATGAGATATCGCAACAACACCAAAGCATATAAAAATATGGCAAAGTAATATTTTCAAACTGAAGACAGTAAAGAACTTTGAATCTGGAATTTTTTATCCAGCTAAACTATCATTTAAAAATAAGGGAAAGAAAGGTTATAACTTAAAGAAGTGAGAAGGAAATAATAAAGGCAAGGACAGAAATCAATAAAAAGGACAATAATAATAAATTTTTAAAACCCAATAGAGATGGTTGGTAAAGTCTAAAGCTGGTTTGTTGAAAAGCCTAATAAGATAGACAAGCTTCTGATAAGACCAATGGGGGTAAAGAGACAGCTGATGCAAATAAACAGAATACCAAAAAAAAAAAAAAAAAAAAAGCAAGGGGAAAGAATATTTTTCCCCAGTAAACTTTAAAATTTAGATGAGTAAATTTTGGGAAAAATATAAAATGTCAAAATTAGCACAAGATTAATTTTTTAATTGACTAAAAGAATAACCATTTAAGAAGTTGAAATAAGAATCAAAAACTTCTTAATACGCAACATGCCCTCCGTAAAAAAGCTCCAGACCCAGACTGTTTTACAGCTAAACTCTGAAAGTACAGATAATCTCTGTTATTCAAGTTGTTGCAGAAAACAGAAAATAAGGAAATCTCCCCAACCTTACCTTATGGGACTAATTTAACTTTGTTATTAAAAACAGATAAGGACAGTACACAAAAATTATAGGTTACTATCATTGTGAACATTGATACACAACCTAAATAAAATATTAGCAACTTGAATCCAATACATGTATTAAAAATTAATGCAGAATACAACCATTGGTCTCTACTCATCGGGAGCAAAAGAGAAAGAAGGAAAGCAAAGACTCAGAGAAGAAACTAGTCTTCAGGACTAACAGCCTACACCTCGAATCATGGCCTCATCTACCCTGAGACCAGAGGACCTAGATGATGCCCAGTTACTACTACCACCATTCTGATCAGGGGACACAATAGATGGACCCTGACAGAATAGGAGAAAAATGTAAAACAAAACTCAAATTCTTAAAAAGTCCACACTTGCTGGACCAGTTGAGACTAGAGGAACCCCCGAGACTATCAGCCTGAAATAACCTTTAAACTTTGAATTGCAACTACTCCCGGAGATCACCTTTCAGCTAAATAACAGATTGGCACATAAAATAAATAGTATCACCCATGGAGGGAAAAAGGACTTTAACTTTATCTGTAATATTCTACGTCATTTAAACTTTAAAAAATGGAAACAAAGTAAAAAATATTAACAGGTTCAAAAAAAATTAGTGCAGAATGATCAAATAGGGTTGATCCCTATTTGTGTTTATGTAATTCATCACATTAATACTAAAAGAGAAAAAGAAAGGCTGTGTTCTTAACAGATGCAGACAGAGAATTTAGCAAAGTTTAACACAATTTTATAAAAACTAAAACTCTTTGAAAACTAGGAATAAAAGAAAACTTATTACTTTCTGAAGACTTTCTACCAAAAACATGCAACAAACCTCATATTAATAAAGAGATATAGGCACATTCTCTTTAAAATTAGAAATAAGATAAAAATGGAAAAGAAGTAAGAGGTTTAATAAAAAGATTGGAGGAAGGAGATACGTTAAGTTTGCAGTTAATGTGATTGCTTACATAGAAAATTCAAGAAGGCTATTTAAGAGACAAATTATTAGAACTAGCAGGTTTACCAAAAATAAGATCAACATACACAGATTAATAGTGGAAAAAAAGAAAGGAGTAGAAAATAAGATGCTGTTTAGATAGCTAACTAAAAGGATAACGTGTCTAGGAATTAAGGTATTAACCTAACAAAGAATGCATGAAAAACTTTGAGGAATTTTTAAAACTCCACTAAAGGATATAAAAGGAGATCTGAATAATTTAAAAAAAAAAAAAAAACAGCATTTTTAATGAGGCAATTTAACATTGTGACAATATCAATTTCTCCCCAAATTAAACTATAAATTTAATTTAATTTCAATAAAAATATCAGCTGGAATATTTGGGGGCTCTGACCACCTGATTCTAAAGGTTATATAGAAGAATAAATGTTCATGAATATCTAATACCACTTTGAAAAAAAAGAAGAGCAATAAGAGGAAGAGACTTTGCTAACCAAATAGTCAGACATTAGAAAGCCTGATGAAATGACAAGTATGTTCTGATGAAGAGGCCGACCCAGAAACAGACCCGTGAATATATGGAACTTGGTGTATGACAGGGATGGCATCACAAATGCATAGGGAATGGAGGGATTACTTAAAAATGATTTTGGGAAAATTGATTGTCTCACTATGTGAAAAATTAATCAAGTTTAATTCCTTCCTCACACCACTTTTAACAAAACCTTCAGATGGATTTGGATTAAAAACCTAAATGCGAAAAGCAAAACTAAATGCTAATAGGAGACAGTGTGACTGAGCAGCTTTGTGAGGATTCCATACACAAGACCCAAAATGCACAAGCCATAGATACGTTTACCTGTATCAAAGTAACTTTATGTGCAACAGACACATGGTAAAGTTATCAGAGAGCCGACTGACTCCGGTAAAATATTTTTAGCGTTGAAAACTGAGAAGTGATTAATATCTAGAACAGAAAAGGCATTTTTGCAAATCAGGGAGAAGACAGGAAACTCAACAGAAAAAAATGAGCGATGTATTTGATTAGGCAGTTCACAAAAGGGGAAGCCAAAAGGCTAGTAATATGTGAAGAGAAGCTTAGCGTCATTAAAAAAAATCAGAAGATGAAAATAAAACCACAATTAGACTCTGCTTTACAAGTATCAGATTGGCAAAAATTAGAAAATCAGAAAATACCAAGGGGGAAATGGAAACTCTTTGTGTTTTTCTCGTTGGAGGGTCAACTGATTGGCTATTTTCAAGAGCAGTCTGGCAGTATTTAGTGAAATAATATGTGCATTTACTCTCTAAGTGAGCAATTCTGTGCCAGTGTACCCAGAGGCGCTCTCACATAGCACACAAGCAGGGAGTTGAGAGGAACTTGGAGACTGCTTCAACTTGGAAACTTGACAAGGGGGGGGTTTAGGCAGCAGGTTGAATGAATGAGCTGGATATAACAGCAGGATGGGTGATATCCCTGAAACATAATGTTGAGTGAAAAAAAAGTTAGGAAAAGCAGTAGATTGATCTCACAATCCATTTCATGAAAATAAAATACAAACACAAAGCAATACTAATTTTCAAGGATACATATATGTCTAAATAAACAATGGCATCCCTGGGTGGTACAAGTAGTTAATGTGACCAGCTGCTAACCTAAAAGTTTGAGGTTCGAGTCCACCCAGAAACACCTTGGAAGAAAGGCATGGCAGTCTACTTCGGAAAAATCAGCCACTGAAAACCCAATGGAGCATAGCTGTACTCTTGACATACAAAGGGTTGGAATCACCTCCACTGCAACTGTTCCTACCCTCCCCAGGTTAAATAAACAATGGAAGATGGATTAGAAGGATGTATATTACATTCACTAGAGCAGGTGCTTATGGAAATCCCGGACTGGAAAGAAGAACAGAAGATGAAGAGGAAACTCATTTTAAAAAAATAACACTACATGGGTGTCTTAGGCTGGGTTCTCTAGAGAAGCAAAACCAATAAAGTGTATAAATATATATATAGAGAGAGAGATTATATCAAGGAAACAGCTCACGTGATTGTAGAGGCTAGAACGTCCCAAGTCCGTGGATCAGGGTAGAGGCCTCTCCCGAGTCACACAGCTGCAGAAGCTGGCAAGCCCAAGATCGGAAGGTCGGAGAGCAGGGCTCCCACTCACAGGCTGTGCAGATCGACGAATCCCAGGTTCGGCAGATAAGCTGACAGCACAAGTCCCAAGAATGGGACATGAGACGACAGGAAGCAGCCGCAGGATCCAGAGAGAGCAAAAAGCCAGAACGTCTGCTTATATACAGATGTGGGCCACACCCCCAAGGAGACTCCCTTTCATCTGATTGGCTACTTATAGTATGTTCAATCATGGGAGTGATTACATTAAAACATGGAGAATCATGGCCCAGCCAAGCTGACACACAATCTTAATCATTACAATGGGGTTCTTATACAAGTTGATGATGCTAGTTTGCCATGAACTGAGAAGTACATTGAATTTAAATGTGTGAACCTGAAGTCCTTTAAAAAAAAAATGGTTTCTCCTAAAACTTTACCGGGATGAGTTGTTGTTTTCCGTAGATCTTTATCCACTGTAATTTTGCCCCCCTTTTACCCCTAAGGGTTGCTGGCTCCTCACCACGTCTCTGCACACTCAGAGGGCGTAGACAACATGGTGGTGACTTGGAAGCCGCCTGGGAAGGCTGTCCAGGAGTATGTGGTGGAATGGCGGGAGCTCCATCCAGAAGGCAGCACACAGCCCCCTCTAAACTGGCTGCGGAGTGCATCCTCTAGTGTGTCTGCTTTGATTTCAGGTACTAATTGTTCATCTTCCTTCTGGAGTGTTACTGAGTTCATATTTGTTTGGGGAAACTGCTGGACTCTGCCTCAATGACAAGAGGCTCCATGGTAAGAGAGAGCAGGATAACCTAGAGTCCATCAAGACAGCACCTCAAAATTCACCACTTTGGTCATAGAAGGCCACCTGGGTGTCTGACAAATCTAATATTTATGGGAAATCCATGTGCCTAGCACAGTTGAGCCCTGGTGGCACAACGGTTAAGCGCTCAGCTGCTAACCAACCTAGCAGCTCTGTGGGAGAAAGACCTGGAGATCTGCTCCCATAAACATTACAGCCTAGAAAACCCTATGGGGGCAGTTCTACTGTCACATGGAGTCGTTATGAGTCAGAATTGACTCAGTAACACCCAACATCAACTACAGCACAGTGCCCAATAAAATGAATGAATAATTGAGTGGAGAGCTAAGTGGTACCCAGTCAGTTTGATGGACACCTTGACATTTGGAAGCTCTTTTCATTCTCAGAATAACCATGTGCAGTAGGAGTTATTATGTCCATTATACAGATGAGGAAACCAAGAGATCTAAGCTTCATTCCCAATTCTGCCACTTATTTATGTGATAAGAAGTCCAGAATTACCTTTGTAATGTTTGGTGTCTCTGATCCTCAGTTTCCTAATCTGTTCGTGGTTAGAATCAAGTGAGAGAAATTAGTTGAAAATATATTAAAAGGATTGGACAGAACTTAATGTCATTTTTAAGCAAGAGGCAGTTCTGCATAGTGGTTAAAAGTCTTGATTCTGGAGCAAGATTACTTGGGTTTGAGTCCAGGCTCTGTCACTTATTAGTTGTGTAATCTAGGGCAAATAACTTCTCTGTGCCTCAGTTTCTTTATCTGTAAAATGAGGGTAATCGCATGACTTACCTCACTGGGTTATTGTAAAGACTAAAAAAAATTAATTTATGAAAAATGCTTTGAACAGTGCCTGATACATTTTAAGTGCTCAATACATTTAGCTATTATTATTATATGTGACAGAGGTAAGAATTGAGTAGGTTTTCAAACTCTTAAGTCCCATAATATTTTCATTAGACCATGACAATCATTAAGCCCGCCCAGGAGGATAAACACAACCTGTTTCAGGAGACAAGACTTGCACAAATGAAATAAACAGAGCACACGTACTGATAAGCCATAAGCCCATCCTTTTATAGTCTGAGTTTCTCAGACTTCTAGTGGGTTGTGTTTTTTATTTTTTTTAACTGTGGTGAAAGTATACATAACAACCATACCTTATCTCGACAATCTATGTGCACAATTCAGTGACACTGATTACATTCTTTAAGTTGTGCAATCATTCTCTCTAACCTCTTCCAAATCATTCCACCACCATTAACATAAACTCAATGCCTTCTAAGCAAAAATTCTCCCTTTCCCCCTCCCTCCCACCCCTGTTGTTACTAGCTGCCATTGAGTCAATTCCAACTCACGGCAATCCCGTGTGTACAGAGCAGAACAGCTTCTTACAGTTTTCAATGCTATGACCTTTTGGAAGCAGATCACCAGGCCTGTCTTCCAAGGCCCCTCTGGTGGGTTCAAACTGCCAACCTTTCAACCAGCAGTCTAGCGCTTAACCATTTGTTCCACCTAGGGACTCCCTCCCACCCTTGCTAACTCCTAGTAATCTTTGGTTTCTATATATTTGCTTATTTCATGTAAGTGAGGTCACACAAATGTGTCCTTTTGCGACTGACTTGTTATCAAGTTTCATCCGTGTGGTGGCATGCATCAGGACTTCATTTCTCTTTATGGCTGAGTAGTATTCCATTGTGCGTATATACCACATTTTGTTTAGCCATTCTCCTGTTGATGGACATTTCAGTTATTTCCACCTTTTGGCTATAGTGAAAAGTACTGCAATGAACATTGGTGTACAGGTTTCTGTTTGCGTTCCTGCCTTCACGCCTTCTGGGTATATACCTAGGATTGGGATTGCTGGGTCATACGGTAGTTCTATGTTCAACTTTTAGAGGAACCGCCAAGCTGTTTTTCCATGGTGGTTGTACCACGTTATGTTCCCACCAGCAATGGCTGAGGGTTCTTGTGTTCTGTTTTAATCACTATACTTAAAGAGAGCACTACCTTAGATTACCTAGTGTGCATCCAGAGAAGGCAAACAAGTCATTGAAGGGTCTGGAACTTTTTATCTAGAGACCATTTAGCCTGTGGAAGAGAATTCTAGATGAGGTGGGAGTGGGGAGGCTTGATGGCTGTTTCTGGCTTTGACTGGTACACATGAGAGAGCACGAGTCCTTTGTTGCTCTGGAGGGAAAAACTAAGACCCCTGCACAGAAATAATAAGAAGGCAGATTTCAGCTCAATTTGATAAAGAACATTCTTCGTGTTGATGGTCTCCAACAGAACAATCGATTGCCTCTTAAGTTACTGTGTTCTCTGTCCTTGGAGTTGTTGCAGTCAAACCAGTTTTCCTTCAGGCCTGTTCTTCCCATCAAATCAGAAAAACAGTGTATCAAAAAATGCCCTTGCTGAACTCTTAAAAAAAAACGCTACAGAATTGTAAACGCTTAGTATAGACTGTATTAGGACTTAGCCTTGTGGGATAGTTTGAACTATATACTACCTACAATTTCTTCCTTCTAGAAATTCTATAATTCTACACAAATATCATAAAATAGATGACAAAAGAAAGTTTAACACCCTTAGGAAATTAAAATGTTATTAAGTACTTTAGATTATGTTCATTGAATAACATTAATATACTAATGGGTAGAATAACTTTATTAATTAAAGCTGTTCCCATGCTTGAAAATACTTGGTTAGCTAGTAGTTTGCACTGATGTTAACATTCTGGAAATAAACACTTTTAAAAAATCAGGTTATTCACACGTATCATGAGTTCTAAATGGCACTCTCCAGTCACTAAGCTGATTTATTGCGATTGGAACTTCACCAGCCTTTTCCCAGCATCTGGGTCAGAGTTGGGTGTCTTGGAGCAGGGCCAGAATACAGTCTGACTCCTGGATTATAGGTTGTTTGGACCTGTGCCAGAGGCAGTTCTGTCCTGTCTGGGTGAAAACTGTTCTGACCAGACAGAGCCACTCCTCTTATGAATATGCAAACATTAAAGTGTCTAGAGAACCTTCCCTGATGTCTAGACCACTTGGGCCGCTCTTGTACGCGCCCCCATCCTCCTTCCTCTATGGTTGTTGTTGTTAGGTACCATCAAGTCAATTTCGAATCACAGTGACCCCATGCGTGACAGAGTAGAATTTCTCTATAGGGTTTTCTTGGCTGTAGTCCTTACGGAAGGAGATGGCCAGGTCTTTCTCGCACAGACCACTGGGTGGGTTCACACTGCCAACCATTTGGTTAGCAGCCGAGCATTTAACCAGGCAGCATTTTGTTCCGTTATGTGTAGCGCCGCCATGAGTTGGGGGCAGACTCCACGGCAGCTAACAACAAAGTTAGAACCAGGAAACAAGCCTGCAAGGACGCTACCCTTTATGAAAAAAAAAATACTGGCTGAGATAGATAGAGCTGGGATATCTTACCTCCTCCACTAAGGGTGGGCCCTTCACAAGAAGAAGCCCATAGCCTCTGAAGCAGCACTTGCCAAGGCCTCTGCCCTGAAACTCATATTTTGCCTGGCAAAATGCAATTAAACCATTTGCCTCATGAGCTCATCTGGAACTCCGGGGCCTCAACATGGCACAGTGGCTGGTTGGCCGCTTCCACAACTAGGGGCAGAAGAGCAGGCACTAGGAGCAGAACGCTACTCACTAGCCAATCACAAGTGAAATGGGATTCCATATTCTGTGCTGTCCTTTGGGCTTCTGGGCCTGGATGTTACCCACAAGGAATCTTTGGATTACGGAACTGAGCTGTGTCCTTGCCTTCATCTCACTTGGTTCATGAACACGAATTGAATCTGGCAGTCATCACCCACCCATGCCATGAGTTTGGATCTCATCATGGTCTCTTCCAACAGTACTGGTTGCACATCTGAGCTTTATGTGCCATCTACTTGTTGGAATACTTAAGGAATCATGGATTTTCATTGGAAGCACACACAATTTAGTAAATTATTCTTTGATGTAAAACTCCTCTTCCCAGAAAATAAATGTTAAACCCTCATCAACTGTCAGTATAGGGGACCAGATCTACCTATTGGCAGGTTATTAAACAATATTGGAAGTTGACTACATGATACTGTAGTTACCTAATAAGGATTGTTTCTCTTTTCCCTTTAAATTCTCATTTGGAATGTAAAGATACGTCATGGGCAGTATCTATGAGAGGGGTCTTTTCTTCCCAGGAAGTAGAAATCTGAGATTCATGGAAATAAGGAGCTTTGTCAGGGAAGAAGGGTGACTTGCCACTAAGCTTTATGGGCAACAGAAAATTGCACTGCGGCTCTTTGAAAGCTAGGACAGTCCATCAAAAAGAGAATAACCAAAATATACCAGATGCTCTGCTGCATTCCTTCTGACTCCTTTCCCAAGAATCTGCCAGAACTGCCAGGCTGTGAAGCCCCTGAGCTTTTGCTGGAACATGGTGGGGGAAGGAAGGGGGGAACAGTGCCCTGGTTAGTCCCGCCCAAGGTATAATCTGGCGCTGCACTGTCAGACCCCAGTGAGCATCTGCGGAATTACAAGAGATGCTCAGGTTCTGTGCCTGCAAAATGTCAGCCTCACTTTTCTGTAAACAGTAAATTATTTACTTGTAGAAGTCAAAGGTTTTGTTTTGTTTCTGGAAGGTAAGTTTTGTTTCAAAAGTAGTCTGTGTTCACATGTCTGTGTGGTTATACTGAAATCCCTGTTGGAACTTGTATACCTTTTGTCTCCTTCTCCATTACGATGACCTTGTTTGTTTATGTCAGAAATTCAGGTGTTTTTTTTTCCTTCATGCTTGGGAGTTGGGAGCAGTGACTTCCAGAAGCCAGCAACATGGCAAAAAAGATGCTGAGAGTTTGTAACTTAGGTCATCCCTTCACCCTCCGTCCAGACTTGAACCTTCTGCAAACGAGGGACAGGCAAGAAACGCCATCAAGGAGTCTGTATCAGATCGTAAAATGGCTGCCTTTAGTGACTCACCGGTGATGCCACATCTGTTACAATAAGAAGTCTCTTTTCTTGCAGAGAACATAAAACCCTACGTTTGTTATGAAATCCACGTGTACGCACTGTCAGGGGACCAGGCAGGATGCAGCTCCATTTGGGGTAGCTCTAAGCACAAAGGTGAGTCTTCGGACCTTTTGCCAAATTTTGCTTTGGTTTAATGATTTCGATTTGGAGGATAATAAAAGCCTCCTGTGTTCTACTTCACAGCACCCTTGAATGGCCCCCATATTCATGCCATCACAGAGGAAAAGGGAGGCATTTTAATTTCATGGAACAGAATTCCAGCCCAGGAGCAAATGGGCTGCATCCTGCGTTACAGGATCTACTGGAAAGAACGGGACTCTGATTCCCAACCTCAGCTCTGTGGTATGTGTGAGAACCAAATGCAGTGGGGGCTTTCTTACTTAGATGTCAGGAAAACACACGAGCATGCGCATGGGCACACATGCACACAAGTGCTAGCACTGTGCCTGGCACTTGGTAGGTACTCAATCAATATTTGTGGAATTAATTGAGTGAAAAAAAAAAAGACATCTAAACACACGTACAATGAAGTATTGTTGGTTTAGTGGTAGAATTCAGGCCTGGGTTCGATTCCCAGCCAATGCACCTCGTGTGGAGCCACCACTCATCTTTCACGGAGGCTTGCTTGTTGCTATGAGGTTCAACAGGTTTCAGCAGAGCTTCCAGACTAAGATGGACTAGGAAGAAAGGCCTGGTGATCTGCTTCTGAAAAATCAGCCCATGAAAACCCTATGGATCACAACAGTGCCATCCACGACTGGTCATAGAGAGCACAGTCAGAGACCAACTCAGTGGCAGCTAACAACAACAACAAATTTACACACACACACATACACACAGTTACTGAATATAAGTTACATGCCAAACAAATTGCTAAGGATACTGACACGAAAAGCATGAACTAGACTCTCAAGTTGTTCAGTTATATGGGGAGACAGTGTTTCAAAAAGCAACAAAGGCACTTCAATACTATATAGGCATGGAGGTCAATGCATTTGGAGAACTTTTAAATCTCCATATTTGTAAATATCATCAGAGTATATTATTTTCCCCCTAAAATGATAAAATACAACACAATTTTAATAACCCCTTATGACCCATAATTACTCTATGTCTAAGACTAAAGCAATTAAAATAAATTCTGGCTGGAGCATTATCTCAAATGATTTCATGACTCACTCATTTGGGTACTAGCGCTAAGTCACTTGCCAGAGCTGATGTTCCATCTTTGATTTATTCAGAGATTTATTCCCTTCCCCACCCCCTAGTTTAACCTTCTCTTTACCGTATAAGCAGCTAACGTTCTTTTCAGGGCCATTTATCATAAAGAAATGATATTTTTATTCCTTTATGAGAGTTATTAGGTCCAAGAAGAATATAACAAAGCCACTCTGAGATGCAGATGCAGACAGCTGCCTACCAGAGGGATTTTTACCTGGAAAATTTATATAAATAATACTTACACATGATAAAAACATTCAAGTAGTTCAGAAGGTTATACAGATTGAAAAGTCTTCCTGCACCCTTAGGCCCACTCCCCTAACATTTCACTACTTCTGCATGTGTTCCTCCAGAAAATAGTAATAATACTGCACACACAAGCACATATTTGGGTTCTGATTCTATATTCTGATCTGCATCTTGCTTTTATCTCTCAATAATACATACTGGAGATCTTTACACATCAGTGCATATGGATTTGCCTATTTCCTTTTTAACAGCTCCATAGTATTCCATTTAAAGGCTTTACAATCATGTGTTTAGACCACTTTGATGAACAGTTTACATCACTGAACAGAACTGCTTCCCACTGGGCCTGTCCAGGGTATGTTAGTTCTGAAATGTACTCCAAGAGAAGATGAGTGAATTGACCTTCTCTTGGGCCATTTGGTGGCACAGTGGTTAAAGCACTCGGCTGCTGAGAGGTTGGCAGTTCGAACCCACTAGCTGCTCCACAACAGAAAGATTTGGCAGTCTGCTTTCATAAAGATTACAGCCTTGGAAACCCTATGGGGCAGTTCTACTCTGTCCTACAGGGTCGCTATGAGTCAGAATCAGCTCGATGGCAACGGGTTTTTTGATTTCTGGGCCATTTGGAATTCTTCATGTGAAATTTGCCCAAAAAAAAAAAAATTTCTGTTTTGGCAGAATGTAAACAGAGATGCATATTTACAACCAGAAAGATCAACATGGGCAGTTGGTTCTTGAAGTAGCTTCTGTTGATGTCGAAGAAAATATCTACCCTATTTTGCCAGGAATCCAATGAATCTAAAGTCTATGTAAGGCTATTTTAAAATAAGTTAAAAGGAGAGGAGGTGCAGATTCACAGTCCTATTTTAAACCAATTTAGATTAAGTTTCCATTTAATTCAATAGCATTTATTGATAATAAAACCCATCCCCTATCTTCAGAGAGCTCACAGTCTAGTGACGGAGGTGGAAAAGTACACAAATGTGATGTGACTGCTATAATCAAGGACTGGGAACTACCCACTGCATTTAGCAATCAGAAGTCATCAATGAATTCACAGGGCAGTGTCTAGGGAGTGGCAGGGATAGCAGGTTGAAGAGGAGGGAGAAAGACACCAGGAGGGAGAGGCACACAGCAGCCAGACGAGGATGGAGCTCCTAGGAAGAAAGGGCCCCATCTTACCAGTTTGTTGGCATGTGGAGGTGGCAGCAGTACTAATGGAACATGTAGAAAAGAAGGGCATTAGCTCTGCCTGGTCAAGAGAAGTGTAAAACTGGGGGAACCCAGGCATCAAAAAGTCCCTGGATAGAGTAAACGGTTAAACAGCCGACTACTAGCCAAAAGCTTGGCAGTTTGAACCCACCCAGAGGAACCCTGGAAGACAGGCATGGTGATCTGCTTCCGAAAGGTCACAGCTTTGAAAACTCTTTGGAGCAGTTCTACTCTGCATACGTGGGGTCTCCATGAGTCAGAATCAACTCAACAGCAACTAACAACTAGGCATCTGCATTATATAGGCTCCACAGGTGAATCTGATGCACAGCCATTCCTCTGGAAGTTTGTTGATACTATTGTGTGCACCAATGGCAAGCTGCACTGCTCTACTGGAACACACATTATACTTTGTTACTACTTGGTTACCCTCAGTGAGAAGGATTGACACAATGGCTGCAACTCAAGCATTAACAATTGCAAGGATGGCGGAGGACTGAGCAGTGTTTCCTTCTATAGTAGGTAGGGTTACTGAGTCGGAACTGACTCAACGGCATCTAACAACAGCAACAACTTGGTTGTCTTCACCAACAGACTCTAAGCATCATGAAGGCAGAAGTCATGGCAATTTTGCTTACTATTGTCTCCACTGTACCTATAATAGGCCAGGCACATAGTAGGTGCTTAATCAATACTGTATTTGTTGAATAACAAATGGTTGAACACTGCGAAGTCCCTGGATGGTGCGAATGGTTAACCTGCCTGGTTGCCAACCAAAAGGTTGGAGGTTCAAGTTCACCCAGAAGCACCTTGGAAGAAAGGCCTGGTGATCTAATTCCAAAAAGCACAATTCTATACTGACACACACAGGGTCACCATGAGTGGAACTGACTTGACAGCAACTGGATTTTGTTTTGTTTTGGTTTTGAATACTGCACCCACACTTTGTCAAAGCAATGGAGATTTTTAGGTAAAAACTCATTTCCTGTAACAATGCAGCTATTTTTCCTGATACCACTAGACCTTCCTATCAGCAGCCTTTTAGAGGATTGGTAACTATTACATCTTCCTAAACTGGTGTCTTTGTCATTTAACCACCTTTAGCCGAATGGCCTTCTTCATCTCTGCCAGAGATCAAAGCCCAGAAAGCAGCAAGACCAGTTTTTCCTGTTTGACTTCGTTCTCTCAGTACTCAGCTCACCCTAGTTGCCAATCAAACTGACACCATCACCCTCCTCACTGCTCCCCCTATAGAGTTTCTATTCATGTTCTTCAAATATACCTGTGTTTGTGTATATATAAACTTTTTTTCAGCCCAGTAACACCCTTTCCTGTTCCAATGTCCTGTTTCTCTTCTACAGCTAAGGATACCCGTATGCAGTTGGACAGTTGATTCCCTGATGCTAGCTGATGCTTTGCTGCAGCAAGATGAGCAGAAGATCTCTCTAAAATTCATTTTTTAATCCCCTGCCTTAGGAAGTACAGGAAAGGGTTTTTTGAGCTCAATCATATAGTTTAAATCTGTGCAAGCAATTTCATCAAGCTAGAGTAGGCTTGGGAATTTTCCACAAGGTACTTTTCTCAACAGGATATAAAATGTAGAAATTGCTCTGAGGCTCACAGCTGTTAAATGATCTGTTCAGGCCTCAGCCCCTTTGGATGGAGTGGAGATAATATTAATGGGCTCCATCTTGTTGCTTACCAGAGAATAAGCTGAGACAGGATAGTGTAAGAAAACCTCTAATCGTGAACTCTTTGAGGCAGATTCTGTGCTTTTGTACATTTAGTGTCTTGTCCAGAGTAGGTGCTTGTGATTGTTAAGGTTGGGTGTCAGTTTGGCTGGGCCATGATTCTCAGTGGTTTGGCAGTTATCATGTAGTTTGGCAGTCATATAAAGATGTAATCACTTCCATGATGAGATCTAATACAATGTGATCACCTCCATGACGGGATCTGCTGTGAGTAGCCAGTCAGTTGAAAGGGAGTTTCCTTGGGGGTGTGGCCTGCATCCAATGTAGGTGGACTTTCTGGCAAGGTCTGTGGGCTTTTGCTTGCTCTGGATCCTACAGCTGGCTCCTGTTCATCTGACCTCCGGTTCATCAAACTTAAGCTAGAAGCTGACCTGCCGATCTTGGGATTCATCAGTCTCTGCAGTCTATGAGGCAGTAGCCTGCCAGCTTACCTGCCAATCTTGGGATTTGTGAGCCAGAGGCCTGTTACCTGACCTGCCAATCTTGGGTTCACCAGCCCCTGCAGCTACATGAATCAGGAGAAGACTCCAGCCTGACCCACAGACTTAGGACTTTCCAGCCTCTATAACTGCTTCCTTGATATAAACCTCTCTCTCTCTTTCTGTATATATATTTAGACTATGTATAGTCTATATATAGATGCTTGACTGGTTTTGCTTCTCTAGAGAGCCCAGCCTAAGACATTTGGTACTGAGAGTGGTTCTAGAGAAACAAAACTGTGAGGATGAGTTTTCTAAATTTGTTCTCAAGTCTGGTTAGTCTTAAAGATGTTGATGAGTCTGCTTGCAGCAGTAAAGAGGGCACTGCTAATCCATGGCGTGAGGTAGCAATAGAAATATGCAAAATATCACCACCAATAGATCAGGTATTGATGAGATGCGAAGCTCTGGGTGATCGCATGTTTGATACCTTTCTACAAGTTTGTCGTAACGAGAAGGAAGCTGGTTGGTTTGTCCTACTTTCGCTAGACAAAGTGGTGAAAGAAGGAGATGAGCTCAGGGCTTCAGAGTCAAAACTCAAGTGCTGCATAAACAACCTCAAAGTTTCCACTTGCTCCTTGAAGGAAAGCCTTATTTCTTATAGTAACAGAGCTGATATTGCCAAAAACCAAACCCAGAGTCTTATCATGAAATAAAACGCCAACTGAATTCCCAACCTTGAGTGGTGTCTGAAGTTGAAGTGAGGGCATTGATTGGGAAGAAATGGGATCCTGAAACTTGAGATGGGGACCTCATGCCACCAAGAAAGAAGCACCGGGAGTGGAGTGCATCCTTTGGACCCAGAGTCCCTGTGCTAAGAAACTAGATCAGGGGAAGATTGAGAACAAGGACCTTCCCTCAGAACTGACAGAGAGAGAAAGCCTTCCCCAGGAGCTGGCTGCCTGAATTCAGACTTCTAGCCTCCTAGACTGTAAGAGAATAAATTTCTGTTTGTTAAAACCAACCACTTGTGGAATTTCTGTTATAGCAGCACTAGATATCTAAGACAGTGCTCAATAAATATTTGTGAATGTCAGAATAAATTCAGTGAACAGGATCATCATTTGACTTTCCCTGGGGTTTGTGAGCCAGTGTATGATGTTCAGGCACAAAGTGCTGAGCTCTAATTTTCACTTTCATCTCCAGCTCAAGAGCAGGTCTGCCAAAGTTCTGGCCTTGATTTTATTGTCCTTCCTGGCTTTTGAGATGTCATTCCAAAACCCATGCCCGGCAGATCACTGGAAGAGAATATTGCTTATTTACTAAAGGCTACCATCACTCATATTTCTTCCAGGAGAAAAACAGCCTCAACACATTGCTCAAAAAACAAAATCTCCCCCACTAAGAAACTGCAGGGGGTGTTGCAAACATAAGGAACTAGGTTTAGTCTGACAAAATGAATTGAATCTAAGTACCATTGCTCTAATTCTTAATGATTTTATGTCAACTGAAGTAGATCCATCATATTAAGTCCTCTGAGCTCAGTACCCTGAGTCGACAAAAAGAAAAGCTCAAAATCACAATGTTACTTAAATGTCTATTTTATTACTTGCTAAACTTACCTGTCTTAAAAATTCCGTCACCTTGAAAAGTTTGTACATTTCATCACCCCCTGCCAAGAATTTTCAAATATATCCAATAAATGCATGAAAAATCAGTCATAGGAAATAAAAGTTTACTGCGGCTCAATAATTTCAAAAGCCAAATGATAAAAAATTCTTTGAAAAGATTTTACCAGAGAAAAAATATTTAATTTGTCTGATGTGCTGTGGAGCGGGGCCTCCATAAATAAGAATGTCTAGGGCCTATTAAAGTTTTAAGTACTGAAGAATTAGAACTATTTTAGAATAGCAATGTGTTTGGGGTTATTTTTTTTCTTCCTTTCAAATTATATGAGGCATTAAAAAATAAAAATGAGTAAAACCCACATTCAAGCATTTCCTTTAATATGTACCTTTCTTCCTTTATCTTTACCCTCCTTTCAGAAATTCCCTATAGAATATCCCAAAACTCACACTCAATAAACAGCCTGCAGCCCAGAGTGACATACATCCTGTGGATGACAGCTCTGACAGCTGCTGGAGAGAGCCCCAGAGGAAATGAGAGGGAATTTTATCTGCAAGGTAAGAGACCACTTTAAAATGGCAAGCCCACCCTGCATTCTGAATGTACACCCCCACTACATTTGGCATGGAGATTATCAGACTTTAATTCACTAATTACTTTCTTGCTGCTACACATCTGCACTTGCTGTCTTCTCTTCCTGGTGTGCTCTAACACTTCATTGTCTGCTTGGAGACAATGTCTGCTTATTTTTCAAAACCGAGCAGAAATGTTTCCTCCTCAGGAAGCCTTCCCAAATGCACCTCCATACTCCCTTCATAATCCACTGTGGCACTTATTACACACTTGACACCCACTTCTGACTCTGACTTCAGTAGCGAGGGCAGGGACTGATATCTGTTCATCTCTATCCTCAAGGCCTAGAATAGGGACCAGCACATGCTCACAAAATATCTGTTCAATGAATAATGAGAATAACACCAATAATAACAACAGAAATTGCATATTGGGTGGCTATTATATGCCAGTCATTGTGTTAAGTGCTCTACACAGCTTTGATCGTTTCACCCTTACAACAACCATGTAAAGTGCCTGGCCCATACAACCAAGCACTCAGTGTGAAATGAATAAAGGAATAATGGATAATTATGCCTTTTTACAAGTGAGGAAACCAAGGTACAGAACAATTACCCAAGGTCATAGAGGTGGTAAGTGGCAGAATTATGACTCAAACTCAGATTTGAGTTCTGTAAAATAATTTAACTTTGAGTATCTGACTAAGTGGCCCAGCTAACATGGACTTCCCTCCTCTTGCTAAATTAGCACAGTTCTCTTTGGTAAAGCTTGCTCCCATCTAGTCCAAGCATAAAACAAGTGTTCTTGCTTTGTGACACTGGAGCATCACTTTGATCACTCAGGACCTTGCTCTATGCCAGGTACCTCTCCACTGGGGAAACTGACACCCCCTCTTCTCCCCAGCACTCCTGTGAAGATTAACTTGTGAGCAATTAGTGGGGATTAAGACCTCAGCATCTTTCCGCAAGTGGTACTCCAAACTTGTCCCATCTGCCCAGGAAGGAAGGCAGATGCTGAAGAAATGTCACATTCTGCCAACTGTGTGGGGTGGTAACAAGGCTGCCTTCCATTAACTTCCCAGTTCAGGCCCTGTTAACATACCTCTCATAGGAGCTAACTGGTTCAAGCCCCCCCACCCCAACTCACCCTCCCTCCCAGCCTCTCCATTCAGAAGAATCATTCTGTAAGATATCCAATCCTGATATTCCACTTCTTGTTGTAACCCATCAGTGGTTCCCCAGGGCCTTCAAGCTAAAATTCACACTCTTTAGTTACCAGGCCCTGCATGATCTGGCTTTATCCCCCGCCACACACCTCATCATTCTGTATGCTAAAGCAAGATCAGACTCCTTGCAGGTTCCTGTTGTGTTCCTTCCATGCCTTTGCACACTTTTCTTTGTCTAGTCTGCTCTTCCCGAACTTGTCCCCTTAGCTGACTCCTATCTATCCTTCAACTCTAAACTTTTGACATTGTGTCTTTTGTGAAACCTTCCTGAGCTGCTCATGAGGCAGTTTCCCACGCTTTTCTCTGCTGCGCTGCCTTGTCCATGCCCGTTTTTTCACGTGTCCCATGGCATAGTCGTCTATGGTTTACACATCTGTCTCCCATACTACTTTTATGACTTCTTAAGACAGCAGAGCCCATGTCCTATTCATCTTTGTATCCCAGCACCTGATAGGACTGGGCGAATACTCAATAAATGTTGGATGAATTAATGAATGATTCTGACAAGTGGTGAAATGCTATATTTCTTTTCATAGGAAGGAATAGGAACAACTTCTAAGACCTTAGTTAGATAGAAGACCTAGTCAATGGTTTGGTAAAATTAATAGTTACTGTTTCTGGAGGGCCTCCTATGTTCAAATACTCTGCTATGTGCTTTAAATACACCATCTCTAATCCTCACAACACCCTGCAAGGTAGACATCATCATTCACATTTTATAGATCATGAAACTGATGTCCAAATATTATACATGTGTTAGTCGCAGAAACAAGACTAGGACTCAGGCCTTTCAACACACAGCCAGCCTGTATACCACACCCTGTTTTCTTCTGTCCCTCCTCCCTTAGAGCCAGAGTATCATCACCCTTAGGGCCAACTGAATGGACATAAACTAGTTGGCCTTGTTCCTGAGACCAGCCACCCAGGAGCTGTGGGTAGGGCCCAGAGGGTGCACACAACAGTCAGTGTTTTGAAATGTCATTGAAAAGAACTCAATGCAGGATTTGCTAACTTTTTAGGTAAAGCCAATTGGAGTGCATTTGTGGCACCAAGCATTTGCATCGCTGTCATCACGGTCAGCATTTTCTCAGTGCGTTACTTCCGGCAAAAGTGAGTTGGTTACCTCTGCCAGTTTGGTAGATATGTGCTTTTAAACAATAATAGCTGCTGCTGCTAAGGCTCAAGGAAATGAACACTCTCCTATATTGCTGGTGGAAGACTCAATTTAGTCAACCTCCCTGGGTGACAAAAGATTTTAAAATAGTATACCTTCTGACCTAACAGTCCCTTAGGGGGAATTTATTCTAAGTATATCATAGATGTATGCAGATATTTAGTGTCAAATATGTTCACTGAAATATTGTTCATGAAAGGAAAAAAAATTGAAACCTAATGGTTTAATAAATCACATTATATCACATACTATAGCAATAATAGGCCTTCACTGAAGATAACATAGAAAAAAATCAAATGGCATATAAGGATATTTGCTATATTATATATATAAAAAAGAAAAGCAGGTTGCAAAACAATATGTATTTGAATTTTTTAAAAATAGTGTGTATACACATACATGTGCATATGCAGGATATGTTAGTTAGCACTAATTTGGTTGTATATAACATAAAAGCCAAAATAATATGGTTTAAACTAGCTAACAGTTTCTCACTCAGGTAAAGGAAGTTAAACTCTGTTACAGGGCTAGTGTGGTAGTTCTGTAGTCATCAGGGACCTAGGCTTCATCTATCTTTCAGGTCCACTATCCTGACATTGGCTTCCATCCTCAAGCTCACCTCATGGTCCAATGGCTGCAGGAACTACAACTACAAAAAGAAGAGAGGAAGGTGCCCACACTTCCTTTTTAAAGAGCTTTCAAGAAGTCACTCATGACACTTCTGGTTATGTCTCACTGGCCAGCACTTGGTGAGACAAAGGAAGACCAAAATGTGTTCTTTTAATCGGGCTCATTGTCACCCAAAAATCAAGTTTCTCCTCCTAAACAAGAGGGGAAAATGGGTACTGGGTAGCAATTAGCTCTCCCTGCCCCAAGGATGGGTCCCTAGGTGGTGCAAATGGTTTGCACTTGACTACTGACCTAAAGGTTTTGACAGCTCAAACTCATCCAGAGGCACCATGAAAGAGAGGCCTGGTGATCTGCTTCCATAAAGATTACAGCCAAGAAAACCTTATGAAGCAGTTCTACTCTGCAACACATGGGTTGGAATCAATTCAACAGCAATGGGTTTGGTTGGTAAGTTGGTTGTTTTTGCCCCAAGGATGTATACCAAAATATTAATGCGATCACATCAGATGATAGGATTATAGATGATTTTAGATCCATTTAACACTATTTTCTAAAATTTCTTTAGTAAACATGT